CAATTAGTATTCTAACAGAGTCAGGAATGTAGGATTCCAAGTCTGGTTCTGAGAGCCACAGACTCAGGTCCATAGAGAACGGGGATCCAAGTTCTGCCAGGAATCAAGGTGATGACCCCTCCAAAGAAGGGAGTTACCCAGAGAATCCTTTCTGGCTCCCATGCTCACCCCTGGGAGCCGAGGCTCGCTGCTGGATCTGATCGACGTCCACCGACTGAAGGATGAGGGCTCTGGGCCACTGGAGCTCAGATTCTGAGTGCCGTGCTTCGGATGATGCGAGCGGAGGGTGCCGGATCATCGGGTGTTCAGGCGATGGGCTGTGTGGCAGTAAGGAAGCACCAGTCCGAGGGGTCCCCACACAAGCCAAGTCTGCCGCTCTGATTAGCCGGGAGCGGCACAGGGACAGAAGTGCAAGAGTGAGCCTGTCCCCATCCAGCCTCGAGGGCTGCAGAGTCAGAGAGGGTGGTGGACCGGGCTCTGCAGGAAATCGAGGCGACCCCAGCAAGGAGGCTGGTGCGGAGCACCCCGCCCCGCTGAAGTGGGAAGCCCCGCCCCCCGCACGCACGTTTCCGGATGTGACGTCAGCCGCCTCGCGCTTCGTGGGGTCACGCTTCGTGGGGTCACGCTTCGTAGGGTCACGCTTCGTGAGGTCACAACGGCTTGAAGGATTCTTCTGTGTGGCGTGCGTGAGGTGCGGGGAGCGGAGAAGGTTGGCCTTGGTGAGGGGTCGCGTTTAGGGGTCACGGGGGCAGTGGGGAAGCCCCAACCCAGAGAAAGGGACTTGGAACAGTCCGGATTTACGCGGTATCGACCCTGAGCTCTGGGGGCGAATTTTTTACCGGCGACCCCCTTCAGTGTAAGGGACCCCGGAGCGGAGAGCCCGAGCCACGTTTTAAGGGCTGAGCTTTCGGTGGGAGGGTTGGCGGGGCCCCGGCCTGAGTTAGGCGAAAGTGAGGGCTGCGGGGGACTAAGGAAGCCCTGCCCGGAAAGGCGAGCGCAGAACATTCTAGAAAAGCGTCTGCGGCCTGCTCCCGGGCGCGCCGGGAAGACGTGTCAGACTAGCGCCCCCTGTGGCCGCTCCGGGAGCTGAGCGCAGAGCGGCCCCGTGCGGGCGCGCTGTGAGACCGCACCCCGCGGGGGCTGAGGGGGGCCCGGGGAGCCGCCCTGCGGGGAAACGGCCCCGGAACAATCTGGAAAGGCCTCTCGAGGGGAGCCCGGTGAGGGAGTCTCGCTCCTAGCCTAGAGCGGCCCCGCCTTGCCGCCGGCGCTGACGGCCCGGGGCACCGTCGCCCCCTGCCTCAGCGGCACGGGGCAGTGGGACTGGGTCTGAGGACTGTGCTATCCGTCCAACAGGTTCGACATGGGAAACTGCATCTGCTGTCAGGCACGGGTGGCCAAAGGCCGGACTGAGAGGACTCAGCCCCAGCCCACACAGGCCGCCAGGCTCCACCTTTGCAGTCAAAGAGAGACCGTGGCCTTGGCTTGCAAGTTGCAGGTGCAGGTCAGCGGAGGGGAAGTGCGAATCCCTGGGCACAGCCCAGACAAGGGAGGGCTTCTCTAACCTCGTCTTTCTCCCCAAGCCCCGGGGAAAGCCCATGCGCGGGGTGCACACGCGCTGCATCTCATTTCTGTCTGCTTGAGTTCAGGGACAGCCCGCCTCGGTGTGCAGTGTGTCACCAGGTCAGCAGAGGGGCCGTGCCTCACCCGCAGAGAGACGAGGCCAGGACCTGCCAGTAATCAAGGTGAGGTACTTGGGTGAGGATTGAGGATGTGGAAGGAAGGACCCTGCCTACCACAAAAGAGTGGAGTCCATAGACCCTGGTATCCACTGGTACCAGCCTGGGGGCCTTGGGGATACCAGGCACTGCCTGGAGTCTAGCTGGGGGCAGAGACAACCCCATACCCCAACATACAGAAGCCCAGCTTCAACCTCTCTTTGTCACCTATGGGAAGACCCAGGGACCGTGGATGAACTCACTTCCCCTTACTTTTTTTTTTTTTTTTTTTTTTTTGGTTTTTCTCCGGTACCGGGAACTGAACTCACGACCTTGCACTTGCCAGGCAGGCGCTTTTGCCGCTGAGCTAAATCCCCAGCCCCTCCCCTTACTTTTTCTTTGATAGCTGTTCTCAACCTCTCTCTCTCTCCCCCCCAGGTCTTCGAGTGCCCATCACCACCCTCCTGCCTGAGGTCCCATACCATAGCCTTCGAGTCTGGAGCATCAAAGCCTTACCAAGTGGAAGATGATACCGGGAACCAAAGTGAGACACGGGGCTTGGTGGGTGGGCAGGTTTGCAGTGCTGTGTAGCAAGAAGTGATCTCTTTCACTCCCTCTCCTTGCCTTTCCTTCTCATTCTCATCTTCCTTCTGTTCTCTATCCTAGGCGTCATAGAGGAGTTCTGTCTTGTGGAAACACTGGATCCTGAGGGAGGCATCTCTATCCTATGCACCATAGAGGAGATCTCTCTGGCCGAAACACTGGATTCTGAGGAAGGCTTCTCACCACCCTCCACTAGGGCCCCCACACCCTTGAGTCAATCCCACCCGGGCTCCAGCAGCGAACAGGGGCAGAGTTCATCCCCCTTAGAGAGCGAGTCAGACACTGACTCTTTGATTATTAATGGTGTAGAGGGTAAGTTGGTTGACTTGATGCAGTTCCTGGCCTTTAAGTATCTAAGTAAGGAGCCAACCACCATCTTAGAAATGGAGAGGGTTGTCAGCAGAGATTATGAGGGGCACTTCCCTGGGCTCTTTAGGGAAGCGTCTCAGTACCTGCAGTTGATCTTTGGCATTGAGATAAAGAAAGTGCACCCCTGCAGCCCCTTCTATGTCCTCGTCCCTGCCCTAGGCCTCACCTATGATGGGATGTTTGGTAATGACCAGGGCTACCCCAGGACGATCTTCCTCATAATCGTCCTGGGTATCATCTACATTCAGGGCAACCGTGCCAGTGAAGAGGTCATCTGGGAAGTACTGAGCGAGATAGAAGTGCACCCTGGGAGGAAACACATCATCTATGGGGAGCCCCGGAAATTCCTCACTGAAGATTTGGTGCAGGAACAGTACCTAACATGCCTGGAGGTGCCCAACAGCAGCCCTCTTCAATATGAGTTCCTGTGGGGCCCAAGGGCCTTCGCTGAAACCAGCAGTAGGGAAGTCCTAGAATTTTTGGGCAGACTCAAAGACACCACCCTCAGGGTCTTTACTATCGGGGAGGAGGAGGATTCAGAAGATGAAGATTAGAGAGGCCCAGGGCCCCTGGAGGAGTGGTGGCTGGGGAGGGGGGCAGGGCATATTCCAGGGCACATCCAGGCATGTAATTTCTGAGGTGTATTCTAAACTCTATGCTTAAAAAGAACAGTTACTTTTCTAAGTAGTGCAGATGTAGAATGGGAATCGGGTAAATTCAGTATATAATCTTTGTATTTCTCTTCTATGTGGGTGACTGGAGGATTGCTTTCGTTTTTGTTTTTCACATGTTCCTTTTAACAAAGATTGAACTAACTTCAAGTTAGAACGTTTTAAAGGCACTGCTCACAAACATTACTGTTTGTAACCTTTTTAAGAGATTTGCCATTTTGTAAAACAAATTGTAAAACCTTCCATTCTATTTGATCTGGAACAAGATAATTTCTCATTTAAATAAAAGCTTTCTTGGAAACGTGGAAGAAGTCATCATTAAAGTAGATAGGGTCAATAAATACAGAAAAAAGTGAAATACACTTAATACTTTCTTTTATCCGTTTTAGTGAGTTTTCTGTAATATTAAAAAAATGCCTATCAGTGTATGCTTGATTTATTAAAAATACTGGAGAAATGTACTCTTAAAGAAGACGCCCAGTTACTCCCAGATACGTTGCCCTCAGACCTCGGAGCCGGTACTCTTTGGAAGGCCCTGTGGTAAGGGTGCAGACACGGGTAAACTAGGCAAGTGGGACCACTCTTCCCATAGGGTGGTGGAGCTGGGAGCCGTTTCCAGGCATGGCAGGGAATGGGGAGATGTCCTCAGCAGCTTAAAGGAAAGGAAAAGAGCAGGTGGGGTTGCAGGGGAAGGGCGAATGCTTGGGGCAGCTTGGGGAAACTGCAGTTCCTTGAGGTTAGTCTTACCACAGGGTTGCCAAGGACACACACTCAGCCGAGGGATTTTGGGGCTGAAACACAAAACTTCTCTGAGCAGTTCTGCTTGCTTCATGGATAAAGCAGAGAGGAATGTCCACTTGGGTCAGGTATTGGTTGTGTCCTGAGCTCTTGTGCAGCTGGACATAAGAACTAGGTGATTTGTAACCATCATCTGCAAGGATTTGCTGGCACATGGGGGAGATTTCTTTGTAGTTGAGCCCAAAAAGTACCAGACTGACACATTTTCCTGGCGTGGGAGCCGGAGGGAAGTGCACTGGAGCATCGCACTCCTGTTACCTTCAGTGGAATTGGCATAACTCTGAACAAGGGCTGGATTTGGGGTGGGATGAAATGAAACTGGTTTGGTTGGAAAAGCTGCAGGGAGGGAGCTGATCCTTCATTCACATTCTAGGAGCTTGGAGATGCACGGGGAAAGATGGCTGCGTGCACAGATTCTGTAATATGTCTTCAAAGAGGAGGGGGTTACCCAATTTTAGTCACGAAATTTCCCATTTGGGCCAATTAGGTCTTCGCATCCTATAGAGCTGCATATCCTCTGATACGGCCCGGAGAGCGACGCCAGTAAGAACAGCACCCCGAGTGCTAGGGCTGGGATCAAGTCCTGGTGGAGGTGGCAGCCACCTGCCATTCAGTGTGGTCACAGCTCAAGCCAGGCCCAGGGCTGGGAGCTTTACAGGCCGGGCACACCT